GGGGGGGGGGGCAGGAGGGTGAAAGGTGGCGGAAGCTCCAGGGGACAGGAGGGTGATGGGGCACCTTGGCTGGTGGCGGGAGCTCCAGGGGACAAAAGAGGCCCAGGGAGGTTTGGTGTCAGGCCCGAGTCCCCTAGAAAACCTGCCAACACTGCAGCGATGCCAGTGGTTGTCAGGCTGTCTCTGACACCCCACACACAGGCCCAACACACAGTCTCAGAGAAGTGCCCTGAGCCCACCTCCTCTTCAATCAGAGCTGCTCCCCTTTCATTGGGTTAATAAATCGGGATGAGATTTCATTAGAAAGACATTAAGCCTCTATTGATTCTGGGCCAGGGGAGGCCCAGAGGCGGCCACCTGGGAGAGCCTCCAACCAGATGTGGAGATGGGGCCAGGGGAGGGAGGGGCAGGGCGGTGGCCTGGTGGTGACGCAGAAAGGAAGGGGCCCTTTGTGGACCAGGCTCGGAGGAGGGGAGGAAGGCCGGGGCAGTCCTCGGTCCCCAGACTTCTGGTGTGTTGAGGGGACGAGGAAGGGCGGGGGCCTCACCTGAGGAGATCCATGCCCAGCAGGGCCTCCCCCTCCCCAACTGGCTCCTTGGTCCACACGGCCTCGTTGCCAATGCAGACGCCATGCTCGTTGGCGCCCATCTCCGCCCCCCACAGCCAGGAAGGGCGGCTGAGGATCACAGCGTGGGTCTTCGCCACCTGCTCCACCTCGATGTAGGTGCACTGCAGGCGGGGGGGGGGAGGGGGGGCGGAGAGAGGGAGAGTCCGATCAGAAAGGGGAAGGTTCCTACCAAGTGGCAGTCACCTTCCACAGCCCTTAGAGCAGCGGTTCTCAACCTGTGGGTCGCGACCCCTTTGGCAGTCGAACGACCCTTTCACAGGGGTCGCCTAAGACCATCCTGCATATCAGATATTTACATGACGATTCATAACAGTAGCAATATTACAGTGATGAAGTAGCAACGAGAATAATTTTGTGGTTGGGGGTCACCACCACATGAGGAACTGTATTAAAGGGTCGCGGCATTAGGAAGGTTGAGAACCACTGCCTTAGCCGAAGGCCTTATTATTCCCATTTTACAGAGGAGGAAATTGAGGACGACAGAGGTTAACTAATAGGCTAAGTCCAGGCTGGAGGCCTCCCAGGCGTGGGGAGCAGAGAGGAGGAAGGTCTTGACTCAGAAGAAGGCCTGCCTCCGCCACCCCCCGGCACCCCAGAGGCCTAACCCACCTGGAGCCGGCTGCCAGGGGCATGAGTGCCCGCCGGGACAAACACCACCTCCTGCACCTCATCCCGGGGTCGGTCTGAGTTCTTGGCAAAGATGACAGCTGGGATGGCCGAGGCCGGGGGCACCGAGACAAAGCAGTCACAGGAACATGGGGCGTCAGGGCTCCACGATGCCATCTGGGGAGAGAGGGAGACGAGTGTGCCCCTCGTGTCTCCACTATCCCAGCCTGGAATCAGTGCTAGGGAGCCCCTCTCCCCACACGTGAAAACAGACACGCAGGGAAGGCAGTGCAGGCGGGTTCTGGACACCCCGCACCCCGCGCACAGTCCATGTGCAATGTGACCCGGGGGCACCCACTCTCTCCCCAGCTCCAGGCTCAGGAATCGGCAGGCCAGCGCGCTCCTCGGGCCCTGCCCTTCTGAGAGTCCTGGCCCATCTCCCTTGTTGCCCTGCGCCTCTCCAAGGGTCCCACAGCCCTCTTCCGTCCCCCCCTTCTGGCTTCCCAGTGATGTGTGCTCCTCACCCTCTCTCCCTGCTAGATCCTCAGCTCAGTTCCGGGAGCCAGTGCCTCCATTTAGGGGCAGGTCTGCCCGTTGGACCGAGGTTCCCAGGTGACCTGGAAGGCCTTGCCCCCCGGGGCGGAGCTGGAACCGAGCGCCTGCAGTTCCTCGGTCTTCCACCAGGGTGCGCGCTAGCACCGCTTCTTGGGGAAGAGCAGCCTCCCTAGCCTGGCTTGGCTGCCTGCCCTGCCCCGCGCGCAGCTTTCAAGCAGGAAAAGGCTGAGAACCAGCCCGCAGCTCCAATAGGGTCACCGTGGGGAGCAGGAGCTGGGAGCGGAAAGGAGCCAGGTGAAAAGAGAGGAAAGAAAAGCCGGGCGGGTTTATTAGAAAGCTGGGACTGCTGGGGCATCTGAAATTAAAGAACTTATGCCCTGGTTTGAATTCCGAAGGCACGATCCCAGGCTGGTGCCCCCCGCCTCCCCACCTCCCCAGTAAGATCTATAAGAATGGTCAGTCCCTGGCTGATGTGGCTCAGTTGGTTGAGCTTTGTCCCATGCACCGAGAAGTCACTGGATCAATTTCCGGTCAGGGCACATGCCCAGGTTCTGGGCTCCATCGCTGGTGGGGGACATGCAGGAGCCAGCTGATCTCCCTTCCTTTCTCTGAAAAAAAAAATTTTTTTTTTAAAGAAGGAAAAAGTATTTTTTTATGTTTTAAACTTTTTTTATTGATTTCAGAGAGGAAGGGAGAGGGAGAGAGAGATAGAAACATCAAGGATGAGAAAGAATCATTGATCGGTTGCCTCCTGAGGGCATGTGGCCTGAGAATCAAACCGGGAATCAAACCATGACCTCCTGGTTCACAGGTCGAGGCTTAACCACTGAGACACGCCGGCAGAGCGAAAGGGTTTTTTTTGTTTGTTTGTTTGTTTTTAAGAATGGCTCAGCCAGGAGATGTAGGGAACACGTAAGTTAATGCCTTTTTGAAGGGCACCTATACATAAAACCCACCCAACCCCCCAAAGGCTGATTCTGTGCCCCCCCCCCCACTCCCACCCCCAAGTGCTTTGAAAGAAAATTTGGAAATTTCTACTCCAAAGACATGGTGTCTTTACACATAGTGAAGCTGAAACAGGAGAAGTCTCGAGTGTTCTGCTTGCTGGGTCATTTTCCTCTGTAAGCGATCTCCATCATATCCAGCATTTAAGCGAATGCACCTCATGCCGTTTTGCTCTGTGAAGTCCTTCAGGGATGGGGGAGACTCTACAGATGGTCTATTTCTCCCACATCCACCAGCCACGCAATCAGGGCTGCTGCTCCATCGGTGGTCACTCCTAGAGCGGGGATGAAGGCAGAGGCTGCCCAAAGGCAGGCTGGAGGCAGGCGTGCTTGGTGATGGCTGGAGGAGACCTGGCAGATCAGGCTGTGGGGGGCCTGAAACCTGAGATGTTTCCTAAATGCCCTCAGGTATCCCAGGAAGATGCCTGTGTCTCCAGGAAGATGAGCTTCACTGTCAGGAAGGGGACTGCCGCTTGAAGAGAAGAGTGGCCTAGACTGGGCTGGAGTGGGGAGGTGCATCACCTGGAACTCTGCAGACTGGCATCTGATCTTGCTTTTGTGGGGTCTCTTTGAGCAGGTCTCTTACCCTGCAAGGGCCTCCGTGGTTCCCAACCACAGGTGGGGAGAGGGAGGGTTAATTTTTTCATTTTTACTTATTTATGGATATTAGAGAGAGGAAGGGGGAGAGAGAACCATCGATTTGTTGTTCCACTTATACATTCATTCGTTGACTTTTGTTTGTGTCCTAACTGGGGATCGAACCTGCAACCTTGGTGTATCAGGACGACACTCCAACCAACTGAGCTACCCAGCCAGGGTGGCTATTTTTCCGCCACACATCTCCCACTGCACAACACGACACTTTAATTCTCTGCTATCAAAGTGTCGGCACACTGCCAGCACCAGCATCATCTGACAGCTTGTGAAAATTGCCGAGTCTTGGGCCCCACCTCAGACCTACTGAATCAGAAGCTGCATGTTCACCAGACCTCAGGTATGAAGTGAGAAGTGCTGCTCTAATACAGCCCCAAGGAGCATACCTGGGTGGGGTTTGGGGGAGGAAATCGCGGTAGCTTGAAAAAGTCCACGGGTGATCCTAATAGTCTACTGATTGGGAACAGCAGGACTGTTTGGTTCCTGAGATTCTTTCCACACCTGCACTGCGAGGACAGGACGCCGAGCAGCCAGGTTTCCTGGGCTGACGTGGAGGTGAAGGCTGCTTCGGGTGCAGCGTCAGGGAGGGGTGGTAAGGTTGCCATTGCGTGGCATTCCAGAAACAGACTTCAAGGCTGTGGGCTAACAGAAGCGCCCACGCGGCCAGCCGGAAAGCTGGTTCACCGCCTGCACTTCCCCAGCTCCCCGCGAGGGGGCAGGCACAGGCGGGCGGAGAGGCGGAGCCGGGGCCGCACAGCCCCAGGCGGCAGTTCCCAGGCCGCCTGCTGCTGTCACTTTCCATTCCAGATTTCACTCACCCACCTCGGAATTCCACTCCCACGTCCTAGGAGAGGAGATGGCGGCTCAGAGAAGTCGCCCAGAGGGTCAGTCCAGATGTTCTAATTTCCCTCCCTCCCAGCTCCTCCGGGATCGCCCTGCCAGGGGCCCCTGACCTGAGGGGTCAGAGGTGGCCAGCCTTGGGCTCCATCAAGGGGGCCAGGCCAGCCAGGCAGCATTGCTGTCAAGGCAAACGAGCCGAGGGAGCGTCAGAGCCCCACCAAAGGCCCCCGCTAAGAATGCAGGTCAGCGGGAGGAGCTGCACGGGGAGGAGGGGCAGCCAGCCCTGCCCAGACAGGCCCAGCCGGCCCCAGAGCTGCCCTCCTGTCCCCGGGGACAGCGCTGGGGGGACAGGAGAGGACTCACCAGGTTCCTGGGGTCTAACTCCCCCAGAACCAGGAGGACAAAAGAACACCCCAAGGAGTGGGGTGGGCATGAGGTGACAGGAAAACACACCTGTTTCTCGTCCTCCCAGACATCTAACGCAGCAGCAGATGGGAACAAACTTTTGCCCCCCCACCCCCCCAAACACTAGTGTGGTTTCCTGTCTGACCGCCAAATCATTCTGGTGCCCCAACACAAGGTGGATTTTGTGAACCCAGACCCAAACCTGTGATAGGATGGGCCAACCTGGGTACCAGATTTAGTTCTGAAAAACTGGATTAGGGTTAGAGCGGGGGAAATAGAAATCCCACTAGATCAAAAAGAATAATTTTGGCCAAAAAAAGAGAATGGGAAGGTGAAATAAAACACAATAATCTGCCCAGCCCAGCCGGCGTGGCTCAGTGGTTGAGTATCAACCTATGAACTAGGAGGTCACAATTCAATCCCCAGTCAGGGCACATGCCCGGATTGAGGGCTGGATCCTCAGTGTGGGGTGTGCAGGAGGCAGCCGATCAGTGATTCGTTCTCAAATACATTGATGGTTCGTTCTCTCTCCCTCCCTCTCCCTTCTTCTCTGAAAACAATAAAAAATATATATATTTTAAAAAAACCCACAATCATCTATCTGCCCCCTTGGAGCCCAAAACTGATCCTTCATCCACCTTCCTGGCTTTGGGGCTCTGGAGTTGAGGTTTTATACTCCTTTGACATTCATTAGGCACCCAGGACATGCCAGGCATGGGGCAGCCTGGGAAAGTGTGCACAGATGGGCAGTTCTGCATATCCAAAGGCGCCCCGTGGGTCCGGCGAGGGCGCATCGCGCACAGCGTGGTTGTGTAACTGGCAGGTCCCTATCTGGGAGTTGCAGCAGGAGCCTTTCCCTCATACCTTCCAGCTGGCCGGGAGCCCATCAGATATCTTGGCTGCCTTTCATCGCCTTTTTCCTGATAGGGATCATCCTGAGTGAAGAAATCGCTGTCAGTCACCCCCACCTCCCTCACAGCCAGAAGGACCGACTGACACACACACCCCCATGTGGGGTGAGGGTGCCAAGAGGCTGGCGGTCTCTGGGAAGGCAGGGAACCAGCAGCGTTCTTGGCAGGGGAGGGGAAAGAGGGGGCTTGTGTGTGGAGGAGGAAGGAAACATCTAGAACTTCCTCATCTGCACAGGTTCCACCAGGGAGGGACAGTTGCAGAGCTATCAACCCAGAGGGAGCTCCTCCCTCCTTCTGAACTAGCCACCCCCAGGGCAGGACAGTACCTTTCCATCGGCCCAGCTCTGCCCCAAACACAGGGGGAGAGGTGAGGCTGCCCAGGGCTGCGAGATCAAAGGGCAGTGTCCACCCCACCCTGCAGCAGCCTGGTCCTCACGGCTGAGGGACACAGAGTCAAAGAGGAAACCGACCGACCGACAGACGGGCGAGAAGACGAATGAAGCAATGATGTGGTTGATGACTTTATTACAGCATAAAAAACACAGGCTATTTCTTCCTCTTCTCCCTCCCCCCCAACAAAGTGGGTTCACAGCAGTTAAAGAAAAAAAATCCTACATTTCTCCTCTAGGGGGCTGCCTAGAAGGGGACAGACAGAAAACCTAACCAAAGCCCTCACCGGAGGGACACCGTAGAGCTGGGGGCCTCCACAAGGGAACAGCCATGCCCCCACCACCACCACCACCACTCATTCGGGAGTTCCCCTTAGAATGGTCACTGGGGAAAGCTGTCCTGGCAGCACAGGGAGGTGGCGGCTGGTTTCGATGGGTGGAGGAGAAAGGCATCTCACACCCACGGTGCCCTCCCTTTCTCCCCCTCTCTCCTGGCCAGGCAACCTGCAGTCACCGCCAACTCTCTCCTGCCCCCAGCCCTCTCGGCAAGGAAAGGGACCTCTGGCGGGGTCAGCAGGAGGTCGGGATCAGAGGGAACAGGAAGAAAGAACATTATTTCTTAAACTACCCCGGGCCCATGAGTCCCGCTGGGAGAGTCGCCCTATCCCTTGTATGGACTCCCTTCTACACGCACACAGATTCCCACCCAGATCCCAGCCCCATTTCCCTTTGAGCTCCTTGGACTGGGCTCCAGCATCCCCAAGGGAGGAAGAGACACGGTAGGCCTAACGCCCAGGACCTTGGACGGGGTGAACAAGGTAGGGTCTCCCTTGGCTGGAGACCACAGGCTCAGTAGAGAAACACACACACACATACACACACACACACACACATACACACAACATGCACAAACACATGCCCTAATATTAAATAAAATACCCTTTGCTTATAACTTAAAAATCAATACACAACTAATCCTCCAAAAAGGCTCTGGATGGAAAGAGGGGAGGTGGGGGGGAAGGGGGAGAACCTTACAGCCTCCATATCAAGCCTGGGAAAGGCCTCTCGCTCCACTCTTCCCTCATCGGCTCCCTCCCCTTTGCCTCTGCTGGACTCCTCCCTCCCTTCTTCCCACTCGGGGATCACAACCAGAAGGTATTTCTAGCATCTAAAGAAGGAAAGGGACAGCTTCCTAGACATCACAGAAGGCAGCCCCTTCCAGTGGGAGAGCCGCTCCTTCCCAGGGACAGGAGTGGGAGCCTCCGTCACACCTACAGGAGGGCCCGGCTCCCGGGGCAGGGAAAGGGGAGGGCAGGCAGGAGGTGGCTGGGCAGACAGAGCCCTTCACTCCGGTGGGAACTGCTGGAGGTCCCTCTGCTATGGCACCCCCACCGAACCCCAACAAGCCCGGTAACCCTGTCCCTTCCATCCCCAGGGGGGAAGGCGGCTGATGGGGAACCTAGGATGAGGAACTACATTAATTCTAGAGGGGGGGGGCTTCTGGCTGCCTGGAAAGCTCACATGGGGTGGGGCGGGGGGAACGGATGGGGAATGTGGACTACCGAACTTTACTTTTCATCAAGACCCAGAGTAAGGGCCGAATCCGAGCTTGGAGCAGAAGGGGCTTGTTTCCTCCATTCTCCCATTCAACTGCTTCCTCTCGCCTTAGAAGGGGACCTCCGTGCCCACGACCCACCTCTATCGGGCTCTCTGCTCCACCCCGCAGTGAGGGCTGGGAAGCTGTCCCGGATGCTGGCCCTCTGCCCCCTTCCTTCATGGCTCCATCTGGGAGGGTTAACGAGGAGGCGCCTCAAAGGAGTTATTTTTACAGCAACAGCCTCCTCGCCTGATGGAGACCCCGCCCTGAAGGGGACCCCCAGCCTCCCCTACCCCATCTCAGCTCTCCCTCCGGAAACCCTAGGGAGAGACCCAGGAGGGGATGAAAGGGGCCAGGCCACAGGGCGGATCCGGAGGCGCTTTTATGTCCTGGTTCCCAGGCGCTAAGGACGCGTCCAGACAGGTCCCCCCAGCGCAGGGGCGGCCCCACTCCTCTATGTTCCCGGGATGCCCGTCTTCTCCGGCGGGTCCCCCCCGCCCTGCAGCCGCGGTGGGGACACCCCACCGCACCCCTCCAGCTGGGGGACGTGAGGAAACCGAGAACAGAGGGGCCTACGCAGCTCCCCACACACACACACCCGGCCAGCCAAACAGCAAACGCGTCCTGTCCAGCCACAGCGACTACAACACCCCTAGCGTCCCCTCTCCCGACCCCACACCGCCTTCACCCCTCGCAATAAATAACCACCTGCTCCTCGCTCAAACCGCCCCCGGGACACCAGGCCAGGGGCTCTCTTCTGATGCCCGGGGGGACCCGCGGGGAGGCGGCCGGAGGCCGCCGCGCCGCCAGCCTTGCCCTCGCCCGCGGCCGCCCCCGCCGCCTCCTCCTTGGCGCCCTCGTGGGTTTTCATGTGCTTGGCCAGGTGGTCGCTGCGCATGAAGACGCGGCTGCAGACGGCGCAGGGGAACTTCTTGGTGCCCGTGTGGGTCTGGAGGTGGCGCTGCAGCTCGTCGGAGCGCGTGAAGCGCTTGCCGCAGAACAGC